CGATTCTAGACATGGATTTTATGGTCCCAGTCGGTGTGAGGATGGGCATCGCACGACGGTTCGATGCGTCTACCCGAGGAGGTCGGAATGCCGCTTAATGGTCGTAAAAGACTGTATGATGAGAAGATGAGATCAGTGGTTTTCGAACGAAGCCTACGACTCCCGGTTAGACGTTCGGAAGAAACACCGGCGAGAATAAAATTGTCAGACCCACAGAAACCATGGGTGACCAACGGGGAACGATGGGTACCGTCGGTAACGGAAGGCCCCGGTCGGATCCGTTACCTGGTGATCTCGAATATTGGAGAAGAGAACCTACGGTTGGATCAACGTCTGGACGGTGGAATGATAATGGGTCAGCACAAACTACCCCGATCACCAGACTTCGTGTCCGTCGGGTCTCGCCGCTACAGGGAATAGCAGAATTTGGCATTGGAATCGACGGTGGATACTCGATCCGAACTCCAGAATTTGCGAACAGAGCCGGCAGTACACCGACCAACTTATCCTACCCCGTGACATCGACTGAGATCAAACGCACATATCGACTCTAGAGACTCGATCGAAAGGGGGAATGGCCATTGCAGTCCTGATCGAAGCAACGTTCCCCCAAACGGAAAGGAGCCATCTATCCACACCACCGACTAACCCCAACGCCGTTCGATACCGGAGCGGAGATGCTGGGGGGCGGGGGGCGGTAAGATAAGTGAGAGCATGCCGGACCAAGCTACCGATCGGACAGTTACCAAGGATATCAAGCCGAAGACGGAAAATCGGACTGACGCCAGGGATATCGAACCGAAAACGAGAAGTTCGAACTGTCAAACCCGGATCAAACTCGAATCCGGTGACGATCTCGGCGTAAAATCCCCGATCCACCCGACCGAGTGCGTCGAACTACGAGATCCGTCGGCTGAAGGAGCAACTGCGACCACTCCACAGGATGCCGAGGCCGACGATGAGACGTATTACCATGAGAGTGGTGATCTCTCAGCTGAAGATCTCGAAGGAAACCTAGCCGTCCTCCCCGAAATTCCGATCTCGACGACCGCGAAAGTCAGCATCGAGGATCTGCAGGTGTGAGATTCCGGATGAGCTACACCCGAAGGCCTCGTAGACAACGCGTTGTATGGATATCTGAAGATCGTGCGGTCGGGCGATGCCGGGATTACAACGGACGTGTTCCAGACAGGGATCGCGGATGATCCTGATCGCGAGTCAGTGTTGGGACCAAGATCATAAATCGATGACAACATGATCACAGCAGAATCGTGAGATCAAATGTGCCAAAAGGTGGAAGATCTGTTGGAGGCTGGTGATAAGTGGAATTTATCGATCAGTGTGGCAAAGAGTTTCTGGGCATGGATACGGTAGGATATCTGGGGCATCAAGTGTCGATCGGAGGGCTAGTGGGGGAGCCCAAAAGAACTGAAATCTCTGACCAATCTGCCATTACCCGGATCATTTCGATCTATGCAGTCGTTCCTAGGTAGTCTCAACTATTACAGCCGATTTATTGAATACTACGCCTCGGTGCTATATGAGCTACGCGAGATGGAGTTTGCAGAACTGGCGAAACGATCGGATCTGAGGAAGATCGTGGACCAGAAGGACCCGATCGCGCGGGATAATTCACACTAGAGCATCAGTAGGCGGGATCATTACGTGAGAGGTGGATCAGGGCGCATAAAGCCTTCACCACCGTGAAAGTCAAGATCGCGACGATGTTGTTGCTTCTGGGCGAGTCCATACAGTTGTTCCTCAGCTGCGAGACACTCCCCGATGTAGGGTGCGTCGTCATGCCCCTTGGTGCGCATCAAATTGGTCTCGACGCGGTCGTCCACCAGATCTGACTTCAACATCTGTGTCTGCACTACCGTGCCTCTTCAGGCTGCTGCTTCTATCTCTTCTGCTCCTTGGGGGCGGCGTAGCGGTCCTCTATCCGGTCAATGCGTGCGCATTCGCGCTCGCGCAGACGCTTAGGACGTTATTGCTTTTGGGCGATTCCAGACGGCCATTTCTCAGCCGAGCGATGCTACTAGATCCTTACTGGTCGGATTTATTGCAGATGATGGGACAGTTGTATAGCACGAAGTAGCTGCATCCTGTACGAGCGCTCAACAAACAAAACCAATTATGCAATACGAGTTAATTTTGATAGTAGCTCACATGGACCAATCCTATTGAACGAGGTATGGTACCTGGACGTTATTGCTGGACGTGTGGTTGCTCGTACGTGTGTTCAAGGCTGGGTGTAGTTGTTGGAAATTTCTTTCCTTATACGAACTGGCGAGGTGTTTGTACTGGACACTATCGCAGTGGTAGCTTGAGTATGGGATCTTAATCGATGCACGTGTGTGGAAGTCGGACTTGACGAACTGGGGCCAGATACTCCCGATGGAGAAGCACTAGAATTTGGCTCCACGACACCAACTGGGTTCAAACCCTCAACTGGATCTTGTTTCCGAGCACGAATAGTGGTCCTATTGTTGTAACGACGCTTCTTGGCGACCTTTCCACGCAAACCTTCTTGCTCAGGCTTGTAGCATTGGCAGATATGTCCCCATGACAGTGGTTTTGGTTGGCCCGGCTCCCCGATGCTTGTTCTCTTCCTCGTGTAGAGCCTAATCTCGCAGGAGACGGAGAAGCAGATCTCACCAGATCGTTTTCACCTTCGAAGAGGTCTCGAATGCAATGCGGAATTCTATATG